CTCCCTCCCTTTCTCTCTCTCTCTCTCTCTCTCTCTCTCTCTCTCTCATCAATAAAACCATATTTTAAAAAGACAACAACAAAGAAGAGCATTCGGAAGATAAGGAAAGAATAACTTCACTCAATAAGGCTGATGAGAAGTGAAAGTCATGATAACAGGATTAAATGGTTTCTTAAGGTTATTTAACCCACTGTTGCCATTAACATTTAATATCACAGTAGATCTATTTTCCTTCTTCTTAATGGTCTCTATTTAAATGACTGAGTACAGCTGTCTCTTCTTTTCCACCAATAATTAACACTGACTACCTTTGCAAAAGAGGGTGAAAAAGTATGAATAGGTGTATAGATACAGCTATATGTCCTTTGAACTAATGTGTAGTTTGAACTTATCCTTTACTTATAATTGTTGTTAGACATGCAAAAGATAAGCAATCAAATGATCTACTTTGAGTTTATGTATTCTAATATCTCCTGGTAATAATGCTAACATATAATACATAGTCAAGAGCAAAATTAAATTGTTTCATTTTGGAGTTATATATAATAATGTATATAAATCCAAGCACAAGTATACTTATTAGAACTATATATCTTAAAGGGCAACATTTAAAAAATATCTAGTAGTTCACTTACTACTAAGTTTTAACTTATGTGCTGAAATTTGACTTCTATACACATTTATCTGTTGCTCCTATTTTAAAAACTGCTTTAAAATGAAATTTACAGATACTTGGATTACCACTGGGCTGCTGAATACTCATACAATATGTCATGAACTGCTAGACATTTTATGTTTAAAATGAAAAATGTGGGTAACACTTTATTTTAATGGTATATTAATTAGTTCCAAATTACGATGAAAATCCTATAGCAGTGAATAAAATATGACATCTGCATGAATTTGAAATAAATTTATTATGATCAGTATTATCACAATGAATACTAAATGAATTATTAATGATGAAAGACCAAAAGTATTAATGGGAATGGAATAAAACATCGAGAAAAAGCTGGAAGTTCCTAGACACTTCATCATCAACTAGAAATAAGCACTATAACCCTGGATAACACTATATTCCTGTGCATCATCAGTGGCCACAAATTAACTGACGATAAATAGGAAATGAAAAAATGTGTGGTTAAATATGTTAATATGCAAAAACTATGCATTTTGCACATTAACATACTGTGCTTATCTGAATTCCATGTATTAGCTACTGAATAAATACTAGCTTAAAAACCCAATAGTTTTTCCTTCTCATTATCATATACCTTGTAACTATTTTAGATACCAGGAATAAAATTCCAATATTAGCTGCCCTCTGTTATAAGATATATTGATGTGTAAAATTATTAGTTTCTGAATATCATTTCACTCTCAGGTCTCAAGGATGTCAACCTCCTTAAAGGCAGACACTATGCCCAATCTATACTTTGTGCTCCGATTATCGCCCACGTGCCTAGTAAGCCCTCTCCTATTAATTAATATACCGATACTAATCATCCCAAATAGTTTAGATACTGTCCACTTACGGAGACAAACGAGTCACAGAACAGAGTTCAATGATGTTTTTGAAATAATGGAGGCACAAATTCCCAGGTATGGGGGACACACTAGCTCACCCAGATAGGGGAGCCCAGGTGACCTCAATCAGGTTATTAAAGCTCTTTTCATCAAACTGCAGAGTGATGGTGTAAAAAAACCCACAACACTTCATTTTACAATTTTATTTACGCCGGGCTGTTACTTAAATCATCTCAAGCTGATATCTACGCCCCCCTCCACTCCCTAAGGATAATCCCCTGTATGGTAATACTACTTTTAAACTTGTGATTATGTTCGCAGCCAACCAATGAAGGGCAGGCTTATACTTCTTGAATGAGAAAACTTGTTGTTAGGAAACCTCTGCTGAAAAACAGCTAAAGTCCAAGCCAGCGCTGAGCGGTCCCCGTGGATGGCTTACCTGTTTCTAAAGTAGTACTGATGTCCCAAAAGCGCGGACCGCGCCTGCATCCGGGCTAGCGAGGCCATCGCCTCCGGCGTCGGCTTTCTTGATGTTGCTACCGGTCTCCAAGGCAACCGGGTCAAACCATCAGGCAGATCCTGGGGGGTCCAACTTTGGTTTACTCCATTTTTCCCCACCCTATTTGTTTCTAAAATATTAGAAAAAAACCCAATATATTTTGAGTAGGATATAAATTTACTTTCGTTGCCTCTGTGAGTAAAAGCAGGCGATTCCAGGTGAGGCAGACAGCGTGGTGATGGGGGGGAGAGGACGAGTGGTTGCTTCCGACTTCCGGTTTCCTCCTCCATCGGGTTCCCGGAAGCTCCGCTCAAAATGCTGAACCGCTCGGCGCCAGTCGCTGGGGTTGCGCCGATTGGAGTCAGTTCTCGGGCCTGAGCCTCGAGGCCAGGCTCCTGGGTGTCGTTAATGTTCGGAGCCGCCGGGCGCCCACCGATCGGAGCTCCAGCCGCCGGGAACCGCTGGTGAGGCT